TTAAATTTACTAATGTTTTCCATTTGTACTTCTTGTTTCCTTCTTGTTCCAGTTGCCACTGCTCTAGTCTCTCTTCTTGTTTCTTTTCTCGTTCTTCTTTTTTAATTTCTTTCTCCTCTAACAACTGCTGTAATTTCTCTTCTTGTTTATTTTCTTTCTCCTCCAACAACTGCTGATATAGAATATAGATATAGATATAGAAAGTGGTCATGGAAACAGTTATGTTCTCACCCTACTTACACACACAACTGGGTCATTTTACTAGACCATCACACAATTTTTCATCAGGAAAGAGGGCTGAAACTTCATATATGTTTTAACAAAAGAGATAGTGATCTTTTCTGTTGATAACTCAGCTAATCACGCAAGGGTACACTTTGTTCTTGCACTGAATTTAAAAGAGAGTACCGATCCCGTGATTGACGCATATTCCCTGAGTATAGAGATTAAACTGTAGATTCTTGCAGTGCAGTACTTGTTGGTCCTCAGGTTGTTCAGTTGTTCCAACCCATTCTTATTCTGAGTAAAATTAGGAAAAGTAGAAAATCTCACAACAGTATGGTAGCAGTGGGTGGTATACTACAGACATTGTGATACATTACATCTTGTTAAAAAAAAACAATAGCTCTAAAAGGTTGTTTCGAGAATCTCGTTTTTCCAATTAAAGAAATATTTTTATGAGATCGAAAAAAATGCCATGTTTGGTTATCTATTTTATTAAAAGTACTGAAATTCTAGCGATACTGTTGTTTTTAATCTAGACGATTCCTGAAATTAGATTTGTTCCTTAACTGGAATTTAATGCAACTTGATAGGTATGGCATTAATGCATGAAACTTTCTCCATTTTTAGGAAGAGGTTTGAGCTGTATTAAAAAACAAATGATATTAGAGAGTGAGTTATCTTGCAAATTCGTTAATCAGTTAATGAGTAATTAGTGTACGATTTACCAAGTCTGCCCATTACTATCAACCACCAGTTAGTTGATTTAGTGAATCTTGAGTTTGTGTTTCGATGAATAAATAGAGATACGAAATTAACAAATATGTGGAGTTTCGATACCCCATTTTTAAAGCACAGATAACCCATTGTATAGCTTTGCGTTTAACAACAAACAAACTGAATTATTTTAAAGTTAGACCTATTGGTGAACATTGGTTATTATAACTATAAAACTTGATGTTGAAGAAACAAATTGTATTTTTATATTGTTTACTGATATTGTCATTATTCATTTTTACTGACTAACCCCAAAACACAACAAACAATATAAGGCATTGCAACATTGTTGTCATAAGTGGAGTTATTTAAGTAAAATAAAAAAAATCTATACTCAATTATAAGATGATGACATGTGCTCCAAGCGAGTTTGAAAAGTGGAAATGATAAAACAGTTAAAAGATGATCAAGAAGAAAGGTACAAAAAATTATAAAAGATCAATACGAAAGACACAGGAATTGCAATAATGAGACATAAAATTTAAATAAGAATTAAAAACAAAAATCATTTTGATTGAAACAAGATCGAGTAAACCATAGGAAATGTGTAAAAGGACAACAACAAAGTAAAAACGATAGTACAAACGACAATAACATTGTAAGAAATTAAGTACAAAAGGACATCGATGAAGTAGAGAAGTATAATGACCACAATATCAAAGAGGTGAAAGGTACAGAAGGGTTATAACAACAAGATAAATGAAGTACAAAATAAATTACAAAGAGAAATCAATAAGGAACGCAAATAAAAGAACGCACGACGATTTATTCAATAATCAGTGCCGTTTATGTAATAAATGCTTGAATAGAGACAACTAAGAAGTTGTCTTTTTCGATTTTGCTTTACTTATAATCTTCAATCCACTAATAGAAATTGTATATAAACTTTACATCAGCCATAGAACAGTTTATTGTTGGTTATCTGATTCTATCTGTTACCAATCTATCTGATAATAATGCTTGGAGACCGCTTGAATGGGTAATGACGAAAAACTTTAATATAAGGTTAAGATAACAGCAAATGTACAACGTTTCAACAAGGATTTGTCATCATCACTAAGTATTTTCTAGAAAATATCACACTACAATTCATCGAAAATTTTGCAGTTTTAGAAATGGCATTAGTAAACTGATATCCGCCTGGTAGACAAAAATTGCTGCTTCAGTTAATATCCTTATGATGTCGAATTTCGTATGGCAGAGCGATTAAAACAATAGCACGGATCCAAAGATTATTCATATATAATGTTTTTATTCAAAGCTACATATGAATATTTGTGAATGTAATCCATTAAGATCATTTTTCAGTCGTCCAAAAAATTTTCACGAATGGTTTGGTTGTTGTTAAGCACATAGCTACACAATGAGCTATCAAGGCTCTGCCCATCACGGGTATCGAAAGCCGATTTTTTAACGTTGTAAATCTGCAGAATTACCGCTTTCACGAATGAATTACGTATATTTTACAATTCGATTTTACAAATAATTACGAATTTTGGCGGGAGAGGAATCGAATCTTCTAGAGGTCTCTGTAATACGCTTGAGCTCTAACGTGGGTTGTGTGTACAGACGCCATCATGTCAAATAAGGTATATCAGTAGAATAATTAATTTTCTGGATTAGATTATTGTTTAAAGGTAGATTTGAAAAATATCCCTCTCTTTTACAGGATCAGTGGAATGAAAGCCAGCCTCGTACTCTGTAAGTATACTTACATTTTGTGTGAATTAAATTTATGTTCCCTATCTTACCGGTTTGTGCTCGCTTACTTAGTAGTCTCGCTTAAGTTTTGTTCATTTCCTGTCTGCCAATGTCGAAAATACCGTTAACAGCAAGGGTACCCAACTGATTAAACAATGCATTTTAATCTTTATAAGTAAGAAAAGTATATTTAATTAAATATACTTATTACCAAGTTAATTTTTAGTTTCGCTCAAACTAAGTTGGTGGCTTTTTCTGATCGGAAGTTAATATTAATGTTCCGTTTGACGTATAACGTGTCGCTTTATTTTCAAAACGCAGCTATGTGGGTAACCTGAATCCAGCTGTGACGGAAGAATTGATCTTAGCTCTGTTTGGACAAATTGGACCAGTTAAGGGATGCAAGATTATTCAGGAGGTTAGACTTGTTTATTAATAAGAAAAAGTTCAAAACAAAACCTTATCTAGTAGTACTAGTAAGTGTAGCCTGGCTTAGCACATTAAGTAGCATTAGCAACACTGTGATAGCGATGTATTACTATTTATATAATTTAATCAACTTGTAGCAAAAGTCAAGATACGATTGCATAAAAAAATATATTCACCATTAAATTTAAATTTGTTTTTATTGAAAATTTGCTAAAAGGTTATTTAATTTCAAACTATCAGTTAAAAATTTGAATATTTCCAAATTTTAGGGTTCATGAAATTGGCAGATATTGGCCTCATACATGAAATTTTCTCAGTCTTGACTAATCTTCAAGTTGGACAACATTTATCACAATTAATTACATAAGAAATTGTACATTTATTACAAAAAAGATAAAAGGTTAATACCAGTATAAAAATACAGGAAACACAATGTAGGCTACTATTAATGAACTTGTCCAGACAATGATGATCAGAGGATTTTGAGAATTCTGTTTAGGTAGACATTAATGTTATGAGTAGAAAATCTATATGCAACGTTCAAATTGGTTATAAGTTAGTAATAATAGCTTTTAAACTTGTAAATAAATTATGAAGTAAATTGCCCTAGCCAGATAATAAAACATTAAATTACCAAAAACAAAGTTAAAAATACTAAGAAGAATATACACGAGACCACAATATTATACAACTTATTAGATATGTTGAAACCAAGGCTGATGGAATCAATAAATGGCCATTATTAATAAAATAAATGTAAAAAAAGAGTAAAGAAAATTTCAACTGCTCTATATCTGCTATATCCAGTACTGAAGAGGCCTTTTACCCTATACCAACATTCTTCAGGCTGGTTGGGATACAATAGATATAGTAGTAGTTGAGATATTATTTTTATTGGCAAATTGCTTGGCAACAAATGTTGCTCCCCCCTGTTGGGTCATTGGTAAGTTTATGAGATTAAAGTGTTGAAATTTGGGATTTGATTCTCCTTGGTGGACAGAGCACAGATAACTAACCCACTGTCTAACTTTTCATGACAAAATAGATGAACAAACAATTGAATTGGATTAAGTTGGTGAAGCATAGTATTTTATTTATGTCACAACACATCAGAACTTGGGTAAGAGTGTTTTTGAACACTGTATTATTAATTGATTTTAACACCATATATTATGAATTATTATTTTATTGAATTAACCTTCTCATTATTCAGAAGAATTGGTAAACCATCAAACCAGTCTTCTTCATCCTTGAGCATGCCAAGAACCAGTTTTAACTGTAAAAAGACTACACTGATAGCTAAAGTATTTTTATGTCCAAAATACAACCATGTAGCAGTATTGCAAAAAATTACATTTACGAAGATGAAAAAAAATCTATAAATTACAATATAAAACAAATTAAATAAAATCGTACAATAAACATCAAGATTCTTGATCTCTGATTAAAATATAAGTTAAAGGTTTGAAGTGTTGAAACTTAAGTTGATGATGATTGACTTTAAGATATTATGTAAATTTGTAGAAGATATGGTTAGAAAATTTTCTAAAATTTACAGATTTATATGTAAAATCACTTTACCAGTTTCTTGTCTTTTAATGCACAAACATTCATTATATGTTATTTTAACTCTACTTGATAGTTTTCAGCTGTATGATTTCCTCTAGTATTTTTTTTATAATAATATGAAATTGTATTTGAACTTTTATCATATTTCATCTGCATACCAACACTCAAATTTATTTGAGACAGAAGTAAAATACACGAATACTTTTCTTTTTAAATAATGTCAGAAGAGCTTAAGTACAGATACAACAGTCAACATAAGTTTATATGATTTTTCAGGTTTGAAGATACATTTAACTTCTTACCTCACACTTAAGCTTTTTAGAATTTTGAAAGAATTTAGTGTTTTCTATTTGTACAGACAATACATTTCTTTTATTAACATTTATTGTCTTCATATTAAGAACCTACAAATATACATATTGGTATTGAAATGTGACAGTTAATTAAAGATTTACGTAAAAAATTAATGTAGGAAATATGAAAATAGCCAGAAATTTTGGTCTTGAAATCCAATGTACAAATACAGAATTTTTCAAGAACTTATGCACACATAGGGAAAGACCTTAAAAAATTAATTAATGAATGAAACTTAAGATTCTTAATTTGTTTAGGATGATATTATTATATAAGATAATTAATTTTGTAATAGAATCATTTTAAATGTGTGTTTTCTTTATACTCTCTATACAAAAATTAGAATTGTACACGTGGTCTTGATTTGTGTGAAAATTTCAGTTTCTGATTCTTTGTGTTATTAATATAGTGGTCGTTTGGAAACATAGTTCTTAGAAAATTTTATATTTTTTTGTGACTATTTAAAGAAAAAAAAACAAGTGCATTTATACATTTGCCATGTTGTTGATGGACAAGTGGATAGTAGAAAAATAACATTTTGTGAGCTTATCTATATTCAGGGCAGAATGGGATACTGGGAAAAACTACTGGTGGGCTAGCGTTTCATTGAAAAAATTGTGAAATACTTTTAAATGCTATTTAAATCAGAATGAATAGACTGCCCAATTTTCCATTCATGGCTGATGAGCAGTAAACGTGTAATTAAATTACTCTTTTAAAATTCTTTTTGTTTGAACCACATTTAAATCATGTAATTTTCTGATCATATAGATCTATAATTTACTAAGTTGGGTAATAAATGTTGGACTGTAAATGAACAGTTTTGCACAATGCATTTTTGTTTAATTTGAGAGCTATTTGAATAGTATTAATACACGTTATAGGCTATTTTTCAGGAATCCATCTTTCCTAACCTCATTGCAGGGCCAGTATAAAAAAAAATTCTTAATTTCTAGATACCTAACTTATTTACTGAACTTTCCTTGTACTTATGCCTATTAGTTTAACTTGAGCAAAACATATTTACCATAAATTACAAGCTTAACAGAAATCAGTTATTTCTTCCAGGTTGCAGTAGTTCCATTTTGAAATAATATTAGAAAATAAAATTTCATCACCTTCACTGTAAATATTTTAATGCAATAAAATTGAAAACCCAGCATTACCTTTTGATACAAATAATGTTGGAAAGTTATGTGATGTGTAATACTTAAATTGAATCTCATTTTGAGTAATAAAACATCTCGGCAATACAGTTAGTTATTGGTTATCTGTGGGTGCATTATTTGATTTGAGGTTTGACTGCTGCAACCTGGGGAATTCCACAAACTGTTATATTTCAGTATAGCTTTGAACTGCTTCCGCTACAGTTCTTATTAATTTTGTTCGCTGTTCATTTCATTCTTTTATTTTTTATTTTATCATTTTTTAGTGTCATCATGTGTATGTTGACTATTAAGAACAAAAGGTCAAAACCTGAATGAATCATATTGACAATGCAGTAAAAACTATATTATTGAAAAGAGTGAATAAGGTTTGACAGTGAAATCTATTGCAGCTGCATTCTGCAATTTGAGAAAAAGCATGTAATACCAAAAAATCAAGACTAAATTATTATAGTAAAGCTTATCACATTGTATATTATGTATAGCTTTTAGTATGTATTATTTAAAAATCCATATCTCAGTTTTTTTAGTTTTCTTTAGAAATACTTGCTTATATGTAAGTTTTTCATGTGTTTTGTAATATCCATATTTTTGTGTTATCTGTTCTCCTCACTTCCCCAGATAATGGAGAGTCAACTGTACTAATAATAATTGTAATATATTATTTTTACTAGCTCAGTCCAATAAAAATGTGTAAAATAACACGTACCATGTGAAGTACATCTTGTTAGTTGTTGACAAAGGTTTCTTCTTGTTAAGAATCAGTATTTCTGATTCAATATGACATTATTGCTATAAACCGTTGTTTGTTTGGAAATGATCAGAACACAAAGCAAGCATCTCTTTTTTGAAAACTCTAAACAAAGTTCATCCTTTTCTGTCAAGTATATATATATATATATTGTCAGTTATTGTTCATTATTAAATGTTGTAATCCCATTGTTTTTAATATTTATATCTGATTTTTAGGAAATGGGTATTCTAAGATAATTTTAAAGTAGTTTTATCATATTTAATCAAATTAACTTTAGGTCCATTTAATCCTTTAGATGCACCAGTTGCCATATAGCGACCACTTAATGTGATTTGAATTTCCTGTTAGAAATACAATTTGAGTGCACAAAGCCTAATCTGCACAGATGACGATCTCAGCCACCAATTTGTATCCAACATAGCTAACTTACTCTTGAAACATTGATATTTCCAGTTGGAAAATGTTTAATTTTTATGAGAAAACAGTCTCAAAATGGCATCAAATCATTCCATTGTTTTCACACTTGAAGAGACAATTGAACTTGTATAAGCTGACAGTGATTCTGGCTCTGAGCTTTAATTATCTAATGATTTTGAGTGTGGTATGACTGTAAGAAAGCATGCACCTAAAGGGTTAAGTACATCAAAATAAACACCACATTGGCTATACAAAGTGGATCTTAAAGTAGCTTTACTGCAGTTCATCAATCTAGCCTGTGATCTATGTCATATGTGTGAAGTCTTTAAACTAACCATTGTGAACCTGCTTTTATATAGACATCTGGAAAAGTTTCTAGAATATTTACCATTAACTCTACAAAATTTAATGCAGCTTAATAAGCCCCCCCAGTGGCTTAGTGGTAAGTCTAAATGCTTACAGTACTAAAATATGTGTTTTGGTACACATGGTGAGCATAGTACAGATAGCCTATTGTGTAGCTTTGTGATTAAAACAAATGAAGTAGCTTTACAGAAAGTATCGGAAAGTTGTAATAACCTCATAACTTGCAGCTCAATAAACACTACCAAAAATGAAGTAGCTTAATAAAAATTATTGGAAAGTTGTAACAACATCGTAACTTGCAGCTCAATAAACAATAACAAAAATGAAGTAGCTTAATAAAAATTATCGGAAAGTTGTAACAAC